GACTATGTGGTGTTTGTGCTAAAAATTGTTTAGTGGCTTCTCATCTTATTTGTTAAAGCTAGCTTTCATGATGACTTGCCACCTGAGTGGCCCATATCCCACTGTTTTTCATACTTACTCCACTCTAGTGTCACTGAAAAATTCTTTCCCCTTCCTCACTTTTTAAATGTCTCTGCTCCACTCTTACCTTTTTTTTTTTTGGAGAGGTTTTTGCCATAGGATGTGTGCACTCGCCAGAAAGAGAGACAGAAAGCGAGAAATCTTCCCCCCCGGGGGATGGCTATGTCACAGTCCCTTCTCTGTTTGCCTCCCAGGATCTTGGGCACACATGCACATGCGCCTGGTGTGAGTTTAAACCATCAGGTTTGGGATTGGAACTGCATTTGACTACATGAGAGTCCCGCGACATAGACATTACGCCAACTGCTGGTTCTTCCACTCTCATCTTTAAAAGATCTTTTTAAATTAAAAAAGATAGAGTGCTCTATGCATTCTAAAAAGTTACTGTCCTTAATCTTGCTTTGCTTTCTTCGCAGTTTTTACTATTTATTTTTACTTTTTAAATTTTGTTTCTCCATTAGAAAATGAACTCAATAGGTACAGAAACCTCTGTTTAGTAATATTTCCAGCACCTACAACATTCCCTGGCATATAATACGCACACGGTCTGTACTGATAAATGAATGAACAAGAAAATGTTTGCTTCTCTTAACCAGTTTTTGTTATGTGACCTAGGTTTTTCTTCAGAGCAATATTAACTCTGCTAAAATGGAAACGAGAACAAACATTAAATTTGTGGTCATGTTTGGGAGGAAGAATGGTGAAATCATTAGTGCCTTATGAGAAGTTTATGGGAAAGTGCCTTCTCCTTCTAAAATCAGCAGCTTACAAGTGAATATCTCATTTTAAGAAGGAGCGAGATGATGTTGAATATAATGCCCATGTTGCCAGACCATCCACATCATTTTGTGAGGAAAATAATCTTTTTTGTGTCCTACTAGAAAAAAGACTAACAATTAATATCAGAAGCAATAGCCATCCCCATAGACATTTCACTTGGTTTAATGTATACAATTCTGACTGAAAAATTAAAGTTGAGGAAACTTTTCAGCTTGATGAGTACCAAAAACTTTCATGTTCAGAGGAGCTTCAGAAAATAGCAGAGCTTTCAATGGAAGTTTGAAATAAGTGGGATCAAGATCCTAAATAAATTTCCTTAAAGAATTATAACAGGTAGTGACACATGACTTTACAAGTATGATCCTGAACACAAAGCGCAACCAAAGCAATGACTACCAAAAGGTGAAAGTGGTCCAGTCAAAGCAAAAGCATACCAATGAGGACCAAAGGTCACCGCAGCCTTTTGTTTGTGTGTCGTGTGTGTGTGTGTGTGTGTGTGTGTGTGTGTGTGTGTGTGTGTGTCCGTCCGTCCACGTGTACACATGGGTGTGTGTGTGTGTGATGTTCTAGATATTTTGCTTGTTGGCTTTTTGGAGGGCCAAAGAATGGTAACATATTCTTATTATGAGAGTGTTACTAAGTTAACTTTTCAGCTTTAGCAGAAAGTGCCTCAGAAGGCTTTACCTGACTCTCTTTCTACACCACGTCAATTCCACCTGCTCACTCCTCTCATCAAATAAGGGCAGTTTTTGCTAGTTTCGGTGTTAGATCATTAGGCATTCGCCTTCAGTCCTGATTTGAGTTCTGACTTCTTTTTGTCTCTTGTTCTTTAAAAAAAAAAAAAAAGGGAAGAAAGAACAGAAAATTAAAGGATGCCCATTTTTCTTCAATTAATGTTAAAAAAAAAAAGACTGTATCGACAGGGTTAAATTCCTAGGATCCTCAGTTCTTCAGGGATGAATTAAACGGCTAGTTAATCAAGATAGTTAAATATCTTGAACTTTGATGGAGCTTATGTTGAGAAATAAAGTTTTTATTTTTAGTTTTTCTCTTTTAATTCCATTCTCCACAAACTTTTTGAAGTTCCTTCAATATAGAACCTTGTATGATTCCAGTTACCATTTGTAGTTAAGATGATGACAGGAAGTTAGAAATTTTTTCATAGTCTTACATTGTTTGCAGTTTTTAAATAGTTTTCACATAAATTATTTAATTCACTTGACACTATTCTTCTGTGATTATGTTTTGAGTATTATTTTGGGATTTTTTTTTTTGAAAATCCTGTTTTGTTACATTTTTGAGGTTGATATAATTTAAACATCTGTTTAAAATAATTAGATTAATTGTTGAATATGTTTGCTGGTGATAAATTTGATTTAAATCCAGAATGTTGAAGAATTCTGAAATTGATGAGGATGCTGTTATATTGCTAAATTTTTGAAAATATATGCTTAAGTAGTTGCCTCAAAAAAAATATTGTAAATTCGAAGGTACTTCCTATAGGCTACATATCTTTTAAATCTTTGGAGATGTTGATTATAATTGGACATAGACTAAACTGAATGTTTAACTAGAAACATTTATAGAATATTTGCACCTGCCATTTTGTAGACCTAATATTTGAAAGATCATGGGGCTTGTTGGAAGTAAGGGGAGGAGAGAAAGGGAGTTGTTGCTACTTTATTCCTACTTCCATTTTAAACATTTTCTTTAGTATGATTTCTGGTACTGACATCAAGTTTTAGTCACTGTGAATCATCAGTCCTTCTCTGGTATCTTTCTCTCAGATGTTAAAGTTTGCCCTCTTTTTTTTTTTATTTCTATTCCAAAAATGGTTTATGAAAATAACATTGTGTGGGCCAACCAGGTGGCATGGAGATTAAGGCAGCTGGATCTCATATGGCTGGTGTGTGGTTCGAGTCCTGGACTTGGAGGCTTGAAAATCATGCTGGGTTCATTGTGTGTGCATGCTCAAAATCCTGAGAGAAGGAATTGTGGCATGGACATTGGGGTGATTGCTCACTTTCTTTTTCTATCCAATGAGTGGACACATCTTGTAACAAAACTTAAAAAATTTAGTGTTGTGTAAATTTCTTGTTGTTCAGAGCTGTCCAAGTGTATAAACACACTTTCCTTTATTATGGTTTTAAGTGCTATCCTTCTGTATTTTTGTATTCATTTTAAAATACTAACTAGATATGACTTTGTCTTGAAAGTATTACTTATGTAATTCTCATTTGCATGTACTTATTTAGGCTTACTTATTTTTTTCTTATTTATTTATATATTTCTCATGGTGGAGGGCTCCTCAGCGGAAACTTTCACATTAGCTAGCTCAGATAATGGACATGCTCATGCATGCCTGGGAACATAAAAGGAGATCTTGGGAAAGGAACCTAGGACCTCGCATGTGGCTTCAGTCATGTGACTGTTATACCACCGTCTTGGTTTACTTTTTTAAAAAATATATTTAAATTTCTTTAATACATTCAACCACATATGTCACTTAGCTTGCAAAGTGAATATTTCAGCATCTGTACATTTCTCACTAATCCAGGTGGGAATACTATACATATCACAACAGACAGTAACCCATCTCTCTGTTCACTTCTTAGTTTGAGTATTTGTTTATTTTGTTAGACAATATATGTGAGTGGTAAACTGTCCACAAACTTGATACATACTCTGATATACTTGTCAGTGTGCAGCATCTTGCTTGACAATACTATTCATAAACTTTAGTCTTATTTTCCTCAAAATAATATAAATTTTGCCATTGCTTTCAGGAAGGAATATATTATTTCACTTTAACTTTTGATTATGAAGTTTTCCTTCACAATAGAATGAAAAATAAAAGATATTATGTCTACATTAATATTTCTTTATGAATATTTTCTGGCAGTTGATCTGTCTTCAGTTATTATTACTGTTTGTTAGAGATAGTGTATACTAACTGGAGACAGACATAAAAGAAGAGGGAGAAAGCACCCTATGATGGGGCCTGATCACACTACAATCCCTTCTCCATTTCTCCATCATTTAGAGATCTGGGGCATTGTATTACACATTCACCTGGCATGTTTCTCAAGCTTCCAGATCCAGGACTCAGTCTGTGTGATCAGCCATGTGAGATCTGGCCCCTTTACCCAGTGAGCCATCAGTCCACTGTTAAATTTTTAAATTATTTTTCTTAGACTTTTGACATAGGGAGCAGCCAAAAAATACACACTTGATACTATATTTGGTTTGGAAGATACCTAAATGTGTAAATTATTTATGGCAGTATAAAAAATTACCCTGATGGGAACCAGCAGTTAGCGTAATGGCTATGTCGCTGGACTCCCACGTAGTCGACTGCGGTTCGAGTCCTGGACCTGGTGGCTTAAAAAACTCACGCCGGGCTCGTGTGCGTGCGTGCTCAAGATCCCGAGAGGAGAATGGAGGAGAAGGGATTGCAGCGTGACCATACCCCCGGGGAGTGATTTCTCACTTTCTGTCTCTATGTCTCTCTCTGTCTGGCAAGCGCACGAGCCCTATAGTGAAAAAAAACCTCTCCAAAAAAAAAAAAAAAGTTACCCTGAAACTTAGTGTCTTTGAAATGACATCTCTTTATTAGCTTTTTAGTTTCTGTGGGTCAGGAATCCAGGCATGGCTCAGCTGGGTCTTCTGCTTCAGCATTTTACAAGGCTGCAGTGAAAGCGGCAGCCAGGGCTGGGTTCGCATGTAAATTTAGGTGTGACAGGGAAAACACCTGTTCTTGAGCCAATTCTCGTTCCCAGTCTAGTGATTTTTCACTGCAACATTTATTGGCAGGTATTTGATTTGATAGTTACTGTTGGATCTCACATCCAGCCCAGAGAACATCTAGTTCTTTTTAGTCTTCTTTGTTATTAGATCATAAATGTGTCTGTGTGCATATTGGTATTTTTAGTATTTTTTGTTATTAGATCATAAATGTGTCTGTGTCTGTCTATGTGCATATTGGTATATACACCTTTGGTGGTGGGAGAGAAAATAAGAGGGGAGGGAGAGAGATCATATATTAGCTTAATTTTTTCCAGTTTAAGAACTATAGTTTTGTTTTGTTTTTTTCTCCACAGGTGCCTTAGCTGGACCAATTATTGTGGAACCACATGTTACAGCAGTATGGGGAAAGAATGTTTCCTTGAAGTGTTTAATTGAAGTAAATGAAACCATAACACAAATTTCATGGGAGAAGGTACATGGCAAAAGTTCGCAGACTGTTGCAGTTCATCATCCTCAATATGGATTCTCTGTCCAAGGAGAATATCAGGGAAGAGTCTTGTTTAAGAACTATTCACTTAATGATGCAACAATTACTCTACATAATATAGGATTCTCAGATTCTGGAAAATACATTTGCAAAGCTGTTACATTCCCACTTGGAAATGCCCAGTCCTCTACAGTTGTAACTGTATTAGGTAGGTATGCTTGCATTGTATATTTTGGTGGTAGTGGTGAGGATTATAATAAAAATATTTTCAATTATTTAAAATAGTTAAATATAAGTTTAAAGTAAAGGAACTTAAATATGACTTTCTTTCTCAAAATTGTATGATTCTAGGTTCTCAATTTAAGTCTTGTCTATTTCTACTTATTTATATGCTGTGTAGTTTTAGCTATTTTACTTTTTTCATGATAGTTTTTATTTTAATAAATGCTAAATTTCTATGACATGTATTTGTATTTTCATTTCTCCTTATATTTCTAAACTTTAGTAAAAATGTCATATTTACTTAACTTTTTCCATTTTTTTTAATGATCAAATTTGTCTTCTTGGAGCCATTGACACTTCATTTTGCAATTTCATTCCTTTTGTACATTTGTATAGCTATTTGGGTCTTGTTCATAATAAATGATAGTCCACTTTTTCTTACCTGATACCCTTTTAAAAACTTATGATGAAATTTTGAATAAGTCATTTGCAATGAAAGTTGAATCAATTTGGAAGTGCTTATCAGTATTTAGATAATAATAGCGTAAGGATTAATAAATACCAACTTGTGGTTGACCTGGAGATACGTTACTCAAATCCTACTCCAAAAAGATACTACTCAGGTACTAGGAGTATGGTTCACAATTTGAGTTGAGGTCATGTTTTTCTTGTGGGTAGATCTAGGCTAGTGACTGAGGGAAGCTCTTCTTGAGGCCAGTGATTGAACAAGATAGTGGTATGAGTGTCTAGCCATTTCTGCCC